TTTCGGCTGTTTTTTTTTTTTTTTTTCTATCTTTTTCTCCGATAAACTTCGGTCTAAGGGGAGGGAAAAAAAATATAAAATAAACGAAAAAAATAAAAATACCTACGAAAATTCGAGATTTTTTTTTCCCCTTAAAAACCATTGACCCGTACCCGACGACGATATTTTTTTTTTGTTATCGTCGTTTATAATATTATCGCGAACATTTATATTTTTGCGCACGCGAAAACGTCAATAATATTGTCGGTCGAAAAATGCGACTTACCCGTGAGATAGTGAAAAGCGGTGCCGGTGCAACACGGCGGCGGACTGGGCGCAGTGGCTCCGGCCGGCGGGCTAGACGGTCCCCAGGCCTGATGGTGGTGCTGTTGCTGGTGGTGCTGGTGCTGGTGCTGGTGGTGCTGGTGCAACAGCACGGTGACCGGCGGTTCCCATTGCTGACCGGCGTTTTTCGTCGGCGACGACGGGCGTCTGCTGCAACTGTTGTCGTAGTCCCACGACGAACACTCGTTGGCCACGGCGGTCTTCCACTTTTTGGGCATCAGGCACCGAGGCATGGCCAACCGTCATCCGAGAAACTTCGGGCCGGCGATCGGGCCGCGTGTGTTTCGCGCGCGGTTTTCGTGCGGCGACGACGGTCGGAACGTGAATATTATTTGTGTTCGATATTTATTTATTTATTTTTTTATTATTTTTTTTTTTCGCAAAAAAAATTCTACGAGTGTATAAATCACACACGCACTGACGGAGCGTACACGCGAACGAGTCTTCGACGGCGGCGAGTGTGTGCGGAAAAAAAAAATCGTCTATAAAATATTACGGTTTATTATTGCGAAAAATGTAATCTATATTGTTGCGGTCGTCTTGTGTGCTGTCGTATGTCCTCGTTTTACTCGGAGGAAAAAAAAAATGTTTGGGGGGAAAAACGGGGGGAAAAAAAAAAAAGTAAAAATAAATAAAAATCGTCGGTACAGAGCAACAGACGAGAAGACAGACAGACAGATAGACCAAGACAGATACAGATAACAGACGAGAGACAGACGGGCCAAGAGTGAAAATAAAAAAAAAAAAAAAAAAAAGGAAAAGAGATAGCGCGAAGAGGAGCACCGAAGCGACTATAGACGAAGTGTTTGGTACGCGAGTGCGTTTGGAAATGTTTGGTGGCCGGCACTTATACCGCCGCCGTTGCAGACGCTGCGGTCGTCGTCACGCCCCGCCGTCCCGTCAGCGCCACGGGGGTGTCGCCCTATCGAAGGGGGTGATTATTATTGGGTGCGCGCGCACCGCGCGCCACCACCGGCGGCGCCTGTTGCGGCCCCGCTGTTGCGTGGTGGTGCGGCGGCGGCGGCGGCAGTGGCCGTGCCGGCGGGCGGGCGGACGGTCGTGTTCTCCGTACGTACGGCGTGTGTATATGTGTGTATACACTCGCGCGCATCACACGCGCGCGCACACACACACACACACACACAAACACACACACACACACACACACACATACAGACACACACACGAGCGCGCGCGCACCCTATACGGTATACGCCGGCGGGGAGGGTCGTGTTATTATGGCGCGGAGGGACTCTATCCTCTGTGCCGTCCCCTTAAAAGCCCCTCTACGACCGACTCGCCGGTCGCCGAATACCCCCTACTACATACACACGGCGGCACACACGCATGATTCCGTCGCCGCCTCCCTCACTCGCCGCCGCGTTCGCGTTCGCCGTTCTACACGTCATCGTCGTCGCGGTCGTCGTCGCGGAACTACCACCAGTAGACACGGACGCTGTCCCGCCGCCGCGCCGTTCGCCGATTGAAAGCTATTTATTTCCATACGACACACTCGCACACACTCGCACACGCAAACACACGCACACGCGACGTGATGCAACACGCCACCCCGCCGCCGCGTAGTTTCTGTCGTTCCGGCGAAATTACACTCGTCCGCTATACACGCGCGCGCCGCCGCGCCGAACGCCGAAAACGCGTCACGCCGCCGCCGCCGCCGCTCCTCTGCGCGTACGTACGACGCGCGTGTGTGCGTACGCGTACACGTCGACCGTTATGCGTATATTCCCCTTCCCCTTCCCCTTGCCATCCCCTCCCACCACCGCACCCCGCGTTACCGTGTCATTACGGCCGGTCGTCCCGGCGGAAAGGTCGACCGTAGAGCGGGACGGACGGACGGACCGTAAAAAAAAAAAAAAAAATAAAAAATAAAAAAACCGCGCGCACACAACAATAATATATTGCGACTTGGCGAGCGACCGCGCGCGCGGAACAGGTTACCCGGCGCGTGGCGCAGGGCCGGACAGGACGGCGGTGCGCGGGTTTCCGAAGCCGCGGCGATCATCAGTGGCGCGACGGTATACGCGCGCGCATCGATCTCGGGGATTTTTCTTCCCCCCTTCCCCCCCCCCCCCACCACAACACTCCCCCGTTCGCGGTCCGGCGATTTTTTTTTATTTTTCCCATCCGCCGCGACGACGGCGGTCCCGCAAAGGAGTCACCGAGCGACACATAATAGTAACATTTCGTTTTCTATTTCGCGAGGTCCGTTGGAATAAACGGCATCGACATGCCGATCGATTAGCATTAATATCAATCGCATGCTCGTACGTCGGAAGAAAAACAAAATAGAAACAACAAATAAATGTAAACGCGTAAGCGATCGCACGGTTGTGTGATAAAGAAAAAAAAAAAATAATACACGTGAAAGAATAGAATAGTGAGTGTCGTGGCACCGTTCATCACCGTGGAAAACCTACTGTTATTGGTGAAATTGGCGTGCCACTACTACTACTACTAATATAAACTAAAATAAAAAAAAAAAAAAAAACACGGAAAAAATTAAGATTAGAAAAAAAAAAAAAAAAACACGGTAAAAATTAAGATTAGAAAAAAAAATAACGAAACGCGTCGAAGTCGACCGGGTCCGCAATGGAATTTTATACGAAACCTTAGAGTCGGACGACAGTTTCGTTTTAAGAGCCGAGGATTTTGAAACGTGTACCGCGCACGGTTTGGAGACCAAATCCTAAGTGATACCTGACCAATGAACGGCGAAGCGATTTTAAACGGCATTTATCGTTGAATTGAACGGTACTTCTATTGAAAGAAAAAAAAAAAAAAACCCCGAGCATTTCGAAGGCTCCGTCGACAATTATCTTAAAACGAAAATTGAACGAAAAATCGAAAAACGAAAAAAATACCCTGACGGGTCAGACGCTTACTCCTCAAATATTAGCGTTAAGTACGGGTCGATTGTTCTTTTTTTTTCTTTTTTTTTTTCACGCGAATTCGTTAAAATTGCCCCCGTACGCGACCCCTTAAACGTACCGAGTGTGCGACATTTTATCGTTAGCACATTAACATCATGCGATGTACGAATCGAATTTAAATACCGTTTCGTTGAAATTAAATCGTCACGTTCGACTTTACGACTGAAATCTCGTGTTCGTTTTGCTCGAATTCGAATTTGCCGAAAAATGCCGCAATCAATTTTTTTATTCTTATTTAAAAGCGTACGGTATAGATTCGTTACCGGACGACCATCGCGCGGCAACCTCCGGAAAGAAAAACGCGAAGCGCACCGGAAACCCAGTCCCGCGCTCATCCTAATCATTTAAAACAATTTGAACTCGAACAAAACACCTGTACTATTTTGCCATTTTTTTTTTTTTTTTTTATTTTCCCGTTACTCATCAACCGTGTATAGTCCGGTGTTGTTTATCGACGTTTGAAAACGCCGAATACATTTTCGTTTTTCGGGTTTTTATTAGCGAAATAGAATTTTCGGTGTTGCCGAACGCCGGAAAAATACACACACGCCGCCGACCAGCCGATGGGGCGGAACGTACGTAAATGTTATGAATTTTGAAACGGCGTGATTGCCAGCACGTCAAGATGCGTTTCGACGTTGCGTCGATATCGCGTTAACAGCAAACCGTTCCTGGGACGTGCGAGAAGTATCCATGCGTCGTTTCTCGTTCACTCGTGCCGGCCGTACGCCGCGCGTACGGAAATCGACGGCAGCAAATCAAAATTTCGTACGCAATCGCGCGACCGAAACACGCCGGCAACGCCGTGCGCAACCGTTTTCTGCCCTCATCCATAAATCCGGGTTTCGAATTCTCGGTGTCCGGTCGCGTGTTACGGGGTATTGCGATACCGAAGTTTCGCCTCCTTCGGACGGAAATTTCCGGGCGCGCCACCGTACCGAATTACCGTGTTGTTTTATTTTTTTTTTTTTTTTTTTTTTTCATATTTATCGGGCGTAAAAGGCCCGGCTGTGTTTGCGCGCAAAAGACTACCGCCGAAATAATTAATTACGAAATAGGTGCGTTGTTAAACGAATACCTGTCTCGAAGTTTCGGCAAAGGATCCACACGAAAATCCAAATTGTTACGTTGCATTCCTCGGGAATACGTTACTATCCGAACTATTTTGCGCGCGTACAATAGGCGAACGGCAACAATACGAAAATACGATCGATTTTTCGAAATATTAAGCGTTCGTTTTATTCCGGCCTAGAAAGTCGGCGGCAGTCGATTATTTGTCCGCCAAAAGCGCGTATAACTATAGAAAATTAAACAAAAAAAAACAATTCTATGCGGCAATAATAAAGTCGAACGACTTAACCGATTCGCTTTTCGTTGCACTGCCCTGCAGTTTCAGTAAAGTTGAAAAAACAAAAAAAAATAATAATAACCATCAAGCCGGGTTAATGTCGATATTAAAATATCGATCGATTTCGATAACTGTAAGTCGAGTTAACGGTTATTTTCGAGAACACACAATAACTCGCGTAGACAAATTGTAATTTTCTAATGAAATCTCAAGTTTTGAAAACCAGAACAGTTGAAATCGTTGTATGTATTGCAATGGTGTACACCGCAAATGTCCATAACTTTCGTATAGCAGTATTTTCCGACTTGCGGTTTTTTCGATTTAATCGCTATCACGCTATAAGAGTATACGCACATCGAGGCGGAGAGCAATTGGCGTTTATGAAATCGTTTAAAAGCCACGGGCTCATCGAACGAGTCTCGCGTTAAACAATTAATATAAATTTCGTAAATCTGTTCGATGCGTCATTGTGACGCACTACAGTAATACACGCGGGTAATATTATTATTGTTGGAGCCGTTATACGGCTTCACAAAAACGTGTGAAAATATACACACTTGTATGATACTCTAAGTATCATAACATGGCGTATTTTACCGCGTAAAACAATAAGTGCGCGCGCTGCAACATGCTGCACAGTCCAAGGCGCGATAACCGAAAATTGAAACGACTCGGATCGCGACGATATCACTGGAGTTTAGTCGTGTTCGGCAGAAAAAAAAAAAAGGCGCAATAGTGAACGAGTCGTGTAATATTACTCGAACGATATTTATAGATTATTGGCCGTTTAGCGACCGGGGGTGGGGGGGCCGTTGTGTCGTCTACTCGGAAAAATACGTAACTCGCCCGTATTGAACACCGTATAAAAAACATCGACTCTGGCACTTTTACCCCGATATAATAGTCGCGCAATGTTTATCGTGCACTTTAGATTTTAATCTTGGATTTGTTTTTTTCTTTTCCGTCCGACAGTACGTATTATACGCATATTATTATTATTTATATAAAACACGCGCAAGAATACATAATCGTAGACTTAAACGTCTAGAGGCGGATTATGGTTTTTTTATTTTTTTTTTTTTTTTAGGATGGGCAACACATTTTTCATATAAATTTCGATGAACGTTAAACATGAAATACACGTAAGATCACAATCAAGTGTCGAAACGTAATCGACTGCCTATCGCAATAAACAATTATTGGCTTAACCGTAATTCGAACGACGATTTATAATTATTATTAACTCGTATTATTACTAGATTACAAATATAATGTAACTGTCAAGGAATGGGGGAGGGGGACGGGCCCAATTAGCCCTCTTGAATCCGTCATTGTAAACGTCTAGACGGAACATTCGGGATGAAAACGCACGGATAGAGTTCGGGGGACAGAAACACGCGGGATAATAAACGGAATATTTTAATTAGTGATGTGACGTAAATTCGGATTATCGGAAAAATCCGATTACACCAGATTTCGGATGTTAGGCTACTAAATCCGGATTCGGATTAAGAAATAGGA